AGGACTTTCTCCTTATAAAAGAAAGAGTTAGGTAAGGGGAAGTTATTGAGGAGATTTGGGTGGGAGTTGGATGTGGGGTTGAAGTTGAACTTCTTTGAGACATTCTCATTCCGAGACGGGAGTAAGTAATTTAGTTCGAATTTTTGATAAACATTTTCAAAGGCAAAAAGTTTGGAGAAGAGAATTTTCATTTTTCGATTCGGTATTTGCTATCATTTCAGTGTCAACTATCAAAGTTGCTTTTTGAATTTGGAGAGAAGTTTGTTCTTGATTAGTAAAATCATTCTCGCCCAACTCTATATCGCAAATGGAAGTTTGATTGTCAATTGTTTGATTTTGTGATTGTTCAAAAATGTTATCATTACTTTCATCAACATCTGTTAACTCAGTAATTTGAGGTTCCTTACTTTCAATTGTTTCAAGTATATTTATCAAACTTATTCTTTCACTAGGTTTATCTTTTCAACATCCTTTAATAATATCTTGAATATTTTTTGGAGTATCGGCTGGTATTATTTCTTTTATGTTGTTAAAAGCAATTTCAAACACTATTGAGTTATCATCAGATTTTTCAAAAGGTGTAGTGCATTTGGCCGCTATTTCTCAAATAACCATGCCGAGTGAATAAATGTCAGATTGTTCAGAATATTTTTTATCCCTTAGTGTTTCAGGAGCCATTCATCTCAAACTGCCTACTATGCTATCAGATTGTAAAGAACTAATATTCTTGATGGATAATCCGAAGTCCGATATTTTGGCTTGATTGCCGGTCGTCATCAATACATTCAAACTTTTTAAATCGCGGTGAATAATATTTTTGCCGTGAATATAAATTAGTCCTTTTGTTATTTGTCTAATGATATCGGCGTTAAGATTTCAATCATGTTCTTTATCACTATTGTCATTAATAAACCTAGTTAAAGTTCCATTTTCGGCATAATCCATAATAATTAGAATTTCTCGGCCTTCGTAATAAACTCCGTAATATTGAATGATATTTCGGTCTTTTAATCTTTTAAGAATATTAATTTCATTCCTAATTTCTTGTTTTTTGTCATTGTCATTTAAAAGTAGTTTCTTAATGGCTACATCCCTTGCTTCGTGTTTACCTCGATAAACTTCCCCATATCCTCCTTCGCCTATTTTATTTTCTAAAATGGGTTTTTCAGTAACAGAAAATATTTTGTCGCTTTCTTCAACCATTTCTGTCATTTTGTTAATAACTTCTTGGGTAATTAATTGCCCGAGGTCTTGGGTTTTGTTTAACTCTAATTGCAGTTTTTCAATTTTAGTTTTTCACTCAGCAAAATTTTGAGTTTGAACAGTTATTATTTTTTTTTGATTGTCTTGTAGAAGTTGTTTTATTTTCTGACAAAGGTCGTTATACTGTTCGCTTAACTCATTAGGAATATTCTCTCGATGTTTTTCGGAAATTAATTCGTGGAGAGTTTTTTCTTCTTCATAAAAAATCACACAATCTTTATCTGCATCCTCTGTTTGCGAACTTCCCGAAAGAACTCTTTGTTGATCTTTTTTGTTTTTCCTCGCTTTTTTTCAATCACCACCAAAATCTTTTAACTCTTTTTCAAATTTGGTTCCTTGACAACGAAAATCTTTAATACTATCGGGTAAAAATTCTAAACCTTGGCTAAGGTCAGTATTATTAATATACAATCCTTCTAACTTCTGCAAATTCCGTAAAGGTTCCAGGGAGCCAGTGAATTTATTGTTACCTAAATAAAGTCCTTTCGAATTTACTAAATGGCTTAAAAAAGATAAATCGGAGGAAAAGTTATTATTGCTAATTTGTAATGCTTCTAATTGCTGATTATTACTTAAATTAAGATTGGTTAATTGATTACCGTAAGCATATATTTCCTGTAAATTAGGGCAATTGGTAATAGTTAATTCAGTAAGATTATTGTATTGACAATTTAAATAAGTTAATTGCGGGCAATTTTTTAGGTGGAGTTGGGTTAATTTGTTTTCTCTTGCATTTATTTTCTCTAACTGGGGAAAATCGGTAATAATTAGTGCGACTGTGAGTTTTTTTTCTTTTTCTCTCCACTTAATTTCCTTAACTTCTTCCTTATTTGGATAATTTTGGTCTAATCAAGTTTGGGCTTCGACTAGTTTAATAATTTCTTCTTGTCATGGTGAGTTTTTTATGGTTAGTTTGGTTTCGTCTACTTGGGGAGAAATGTATACTTTAAAACCAAAATAATAAGTAAAATCCCCCAAATCCAATTCTCCCTCTAAACTGGGTTCATTAAGGTAGATTTCTTCTATTTCGCTTCTTGTTCTTCATTCTTTTTTTTCACCATCTGAATTTTGACTATAATCAGTCCATTCTTCTTCCCATCCTTCTTTCGGATACTTCTCATCCAACCACTCCTGAACGCTTACCATTTTTTTTATTATAGTTATACAAGTTTAACGACCCCGACCAAAAAAAAAGAGTAAGAAAGTTAAAAAAGTTAAATATGCAAACAGCAACCAAAAGCCCTCGTAATCACTTATTTGCTAGCCGAGTTAAAAAATCCTGATTAGTCCATTAAAAAAAATTGTTTACGAAGAAATGAGGTAAGTTTTTGGAAAGATTACTTGACTTTATTTTCTGGTTAATAGAGAGTGGAATTTGCCTAGTTTGCTTTCCTGTTTTCTTTGCCACCAAAAACTATTTTTGTCAATCCAAACAAAGTTAACTATCGAGAGAAATATTATCTTGAATTCAATCCGGAAAATGTTTATCAGTTTGAGTACCTTACTATTAAGCAAAGATTAACTACCCGGAGTAGGGATTACAGTTTTTCATAAAAGGTATTTGTGAATAAGAATAAAACCTAAAATATTCAACCCAAAGTGCTTATTCCTGAATAAACTCCGAGGCCAATGGTGCTGCCAAGAAAGGCGGAATCATTATTTATACAAACAATCTCTGTCGATGTGGCTGTTTTAGTAGTGGTAAAAGTAGCATCCGCTTTAATAAATCTATTATTTCAACATTCGAAGGATCTAAGACTAGCGGAGTAATCTAAAGTCAAATTCGTAAGAAGAAAATTGTTGGAACAATTTAACTCTTGCAAGTTTTTGGTTCCTCGTAAACTCAATTCTTTAAGTTGGTTGTTATTGACAATCAGGTGAGCAAGACCAAAAAAGTCTTTGAGAATAATTTGTTCATAATTGTTATAAGAAAAATTGAGTACTCTAGGCATTGGTCTACCTTTACCATCTCAGTCAGTGATAGGACCACGCCTATTATGAGACTCGTCAAGCACTTCTATAGAATTATTATCCCTTCAAAGAACGAAAGTTAACTGATTAAAAGAAAAATTTAGTTTTTTCACATTGAAAAAATCACTTAGGTCCAATCAACCTTCTAGGTTTTGATTACTAATATCTAGGTTAACAATTTCACTTCTTCTTTTGCCGTAATTTTCCTTATCTTCTTTTCTTTGACAGGTGCCATTTGTAGGATATTTTGTTCCGTTCATTCGGTTGCATTTACCATAATATTATTATTATACAGTTTTTTCTAGAAGAAAAATTTCGGTATAATGATAGAAAAGGATTTGAGAAAACTTAAAAAATGGCGTTGAAACTTTTCCTACTTATTGCTTAATTTTTTTGAGTAAGTTGTTTTGACCCTTACAATGCTTTGGTTTGACTTTCAGTTATATCGCTTCAAACATCATCAGACACTCTTTCCTCTATTTTGTATTCTAATGCTAGTTTCTTCTTCCAAAAAGCCAAGGCCAACTTGGTTATTTTTTTAACTTGGGGATGTTGTTTTGCCTGAGCATCATAATGATTTTTTTCAATTTGTTCCAGCCCTTTCTTAGCTTTGGCTTTTAATTGTTTCTCATTTTTGCATACTTTATATTCTAAAATAAAGGCCTGAGTGGAACGAGGGGACTTAGGAAGTAGTGTCAAATCACCTCTACCCTCACCTACTTCCGCTTCACTAGCGATAAAATAAGTTGGGCTTAGATCGCTCGATATTCCCAACATTAATCCACTATAAAATATTTCGGCAATATTTTTCGCTAACTGGAAAGAACCGCTTGAAACTGATAAAAAGTTGTGTAATTTAGTTTTAAATTGGGAGATTTTGCCTTCTACTAGTGATTGAGCCAAAATTTCGTAATTACCATAACCAATCTCAAGCTGTTTTTCTACTCACGCTACCACCCTTTCTTCATAAATTTCCCTAACTTCTTGATTGGGAATTGATAATTTATAACCCACTTCTGTCTCAACGGGGTTTAAATAACCAGCAAAAACTAATAAACTATAAAATGCTCTCTTGTCCTTCTTTATTTGATCCAAAGCAATTTGCTTATATAATTTTTTGGTTATGTTCCGACCCTTCAAGAGATTTTGCAGATCGAGTTGGTTTTCATCTGAAAGTATTGCTTGTTCTACCAAATCAGTACCCCCAGAATCTATTCAGTAATTGTCTAATTTACCCTTTTCTTCTAAGCAACACATAACTGACAAAGGATTATAGACAGTTTGTCCTCCGAACTCATAACCATCGTATCACTCCTTAATTTCGTTTTTATCGATAATTACTGGCACTTTTGTCAACAACTCATCGACTTCCTCTTGAGTAAATCCGTAATATTCAGTAAATTTCTTATCTAATAAATTGTATTCTTTTACATTATTCAAATCGGAGAATAAATTGGCCTTAGCGATTCTCAAAATTCCAGTTAAAACAGCTTTTTCCAAATAAACATTCCCTTTTAAAACTGAACCTAACATTGTCCGGAAAAGTTTTAGTACTTTGTCAAATTCTTTGGGCTTTAATTCTAAGAAGGCGTCATTAATCACTGTATCATATTCATCAATGAGGAGATAAACTTTTTGGTTGAAATGTTGATATAAGAACTTACTTAATAATTTCAAACTAACTTCTAAATCGGCTTTTTCTGGCTTCCCTAGGAAACATCTGATTAGTTGTTCTTTCTCTAAAGTATTTTCTAGAATATCATCACTAGGAACCAAATATTGTTTTAAGTAATTGTGTTCAACAAAAGCATTAAATATTTGGATTTTAATTTTGTTTTCAACTTCTTGGTAACTACTGCCCCCCTTCACGTCTTTTAAATCAAGAAAAATCACTGGATATTTACCTTGTTGATCCATAGCACTTTTATCGGTGCTAACCTTTAAAGGTTCTAATACCTTTGAACCTTCAATTCCCCCTTCCATTTCTCCACCAGTAAAAAGTATGTGATTGGTTTTTTCGTTTGGGGGTAATGGATTACCTCGAGTATCAGTTTCTATTTCAAAAAAGTATTTGAGCATGCTCAAATTTAGACTTTTGCCTCAGCGGCGAGGACGAGCGATGAGTAATATCGAAGTGGATTTTATAATTTCTTCAACAAGAAGACTTTTATCTACTAAAACATCACTTCTTAACCGAAAATCTTTGAAGTCGCCAGTACTGATATCTATTCGCGGATAATTACTTGGTTTGTTTAATTCTGGTTGGTTCATGATTTAAATTGTTTTTTTGTTTAATTTTTTCTTTCTTCGACGGCAAGATAGGCCGAGAATTGTTCAGAAACGGGATTGTAGACCGGCTGTGGATATTGTTTTTGGAGACAATTTTCACAGAACTGTTTACAGTCGCGAAAATACTTAGCAGTAAGGTTGATGGCTCAAAGTCCACCGGAAGCAAAACTACTAATAGCACTGGTTCTCGAACAACCTTCCATACAAAATTGTTGAGCCACGGCCGTCCCTAGTAAAAAACTGGTTAAATCACAACAATTAATTGTTTGGCTTTTCGTCTGTTCTTTTTCTCCTACCGAGAAATTTTCAGTTAAATTATTTTCTAGTACGTTCATTTTTGATTATTAATTTATTATACTAACAACGAGAACCCAGTCTCTACC